GGCATAGAAGTTAGAATCATCCAAACAGTCACAACAGATCACAAGCAGATAGGCAGTGGAAACTTAACATTTCAGGACCTACCAGATACTCTAGTAAATCTAGATCGAAGCACTCCAATACATACGTATTAGAATTGGACACAGTATTCATCATCGCTAGATATGGATTGTCCTAACTCGTATGAGTATGCATAAATATATCATAACTTTAATTTTCGTAACATATGTCTGTTAGTAGAGTTAAAATATCAAGTTCGAGCCCTCATCACGTATTGCACTGGTATATACGTATAGCTTTTAGACATATTTATATTATTTATTTAAATATTACTCACAAATATATTATAATCTTATTTTTCATAACATCCATTTTTTGGTAGATTTAAAAATATTGAGTTATAGCCTGCATCACAGATTGTACTTGTATATATGTACAACTTAGAGACATATTTATTATTTAGATTGAAATTGCATTGGATAATAAACCGCACAAAGTTTCCATTCGTGGTTTGATTAGATGACCAATGACTCATGTAGGTTCTAAAAAATAAGATTTGTTTCTAATCAAAACTACAACAATAATTTAGTGGTGAGAATATTTGTTTATATTTATTATTGAAACTTCATTGGTTCAGAGACCTGCAATATTATAGTTATTATTTATTTTTGGTATTTTATTATAAAAAGGAAAAAAGCCAAGACCACTGTGTGGAGGAAAAAGCAAACAGAAAAACAACGGACGATCACCAAAAAAAGGATAACAGAAAAATGAAAGAAGATGAAAAAGCACAAAAAAAATAGAAAAACGTCGGACTAGAGTCAACAGAAACGCGGATGTAGATTGAGCTAAACAAGTAAACATCTCCCCACGAAGCTAAATAGGAAATAGAAGCTAAATGCGGATGTTGCATTTCGAGCTAGACACGAAACAGAAACGCTGGGATATAGAACCACGGATGCGGGATAAACACGAATCTGAAATGTGGACGACGCCACAGAGCAGAACAAAAGCGAAGTAAAACCTGGACATCATACATGGGCAGATCAGAACAGAAATCTTAGACACGGAAATTCGGCTTTTTAATATTGGTTATAGATATATAAGATATGCGTAGTCCAACTCTTGGCATATTCAACTCAAAATACCTAACCACAAATAAAAAAACATAATTACTAAAATAAGATAAATTCAAAGAAATCTGCTCCCACGGATAAAAAACCAAGACAATCATATCTTCTGAGATGTACTACACCATTATAGTAACCATTTTCCCAAAAAATAAAAAAAGATTAAAAACAACGTAGAAAGACCATACCCACCTGGAACTGCACCACTAACCTTAAACTCACAACTAACCGTACATAACAAAAAGAATAGGCCCACAAAAAGGCCCATCACAAGTAGCAAAAAAAGCCAAACCAAATGATCACGCCTACAGCCAATCTCAGACATGCTAAAATCAAAGAATTCTACTCCCACTCATAGAAGACAAAAGCTCTAATCAAGTAACAACACAATCTCAAAAACATACGAACAAAGAATATATCACATAACACCTTCTGCAATATGAAGAAAAAATACTAAGCAAAACCTCACATCAGCAGAGGACTACATTCATTACACATTCAAATATGGAAATCAAATCAGACCTGCAACAAGGCACCTGCAACTCAACAATTAAATACATCCTATGTGGCATCAACTAATGCCCAGGTAACTCATCTACCTGATGACTACCTACAGGGCATCAACATACTAATATCCAGTAAAAGTAAAAACAAGTAATCGAACAAACTAAAAAAAAGAAACATCTAAGATTGATTCATAGAAACCTACAATAAAAACCACTTCAGTAATCAGTCAACTAAACCTCACCATACGACTACCAACATCCAAAACGATAAAACATCAACCAACATAATATTTTAAAACTAATACCGCTGAAAAACTAATACCAATGCTAAATCAAACAAACAATGGTAAAATAGTAGCCTCCCTAAAAGAAGAGAATATGCATAGCTTCGTCAATGATTAACAATTCATGTATTTCAAAACATAAAGACCTATCACCTATAGCACAACAAGCAAATAATGAACTGATGCAGCAACAACAAAGTATATAAATATCATGACATATTTAAGTTGACAGGGCCATATCACTGCAGCATATATAGCCACGAGGTGCAAACCCAATAGAAACATTCTAGCTACACCACTAGCTTATCAATCAAGACCTAACTAGAGCATTTTAGAAACAAAGATAAGAAAATAGCATCCTATAAGTTAGACAATATCATGCTCAATATAGATGTATACTTAAAAGGTTGCAACATAAATAAACCACATTTAGAATAATATTAACAACATAAGTTGTCATTCAGTAACAATATCATAATGTGACCATCTAACAACTACTAATATTAGAATTCGATCACTATCAATAGAGCAACAAACACATATAGCACGTAGAGCAACTCTACAAGAGCTAGCAGTTGGGTTATATGCGGTTGTGTGGATTGGCCAGAGCGCACGAAACTGTGGAAGAGATTGAGGTCAACGCACATCCAAAATCACGATGACGTGGCATCCAAAATCACGATGACGTGGCAGAACAGAGATAGAACAGATGCAGGGCAGTCAGATTGTGATGCATGCAATGCAACTACAGGGAGGCACCAGCTTTGGGTTGTTACTAGAGCACAAGTGTGCATTGATGATTATCATAGCCCAATCATAAAACATCACACAGCAGAAAAGCTCACTCTCTCTGCACCTTTTGGTTGAAGATGAGTGCCACTATCTACGCTCTACAAATGTCTTTTCATGAGATATGGAAAAACATAAGCATCCAAATAACTAGAAAACCTAAGCATACTACACGCCACATTCCTAATTCAAGAACAACTAGACACCAACTCATGATTTTGTAAAAAAAAAACCAGTGGCACATATATCAAAGGACGAGGCCATCTATTGGATTAGGCGTTCTGAACAGCAGAGAGGGGAGAGTGGAGTGGAGAAGAGAGGTGGTGGCTAGGATTTGCAAATGAGAGTGGAGGAAGTGAGCCCCTTTGCCCTCATGCTCTTGGCACAATATATAGGCAACAACAATTTACATGTGCCCACTTGGTGGGGGAGGATTTCACAAGCTACTACACTAACTTCTTTTGGGTTTCTTCCAGGGGGAGAATTTGGACATATATCATATGGGCTCACCCAACAGTAGCCCCTCAGCTACTAGGTTATGGCTAGTACTATATGACCTAGTAGATACTCATACAAGAAGAGGCATAATACAACTTAAACCTTAGTTGTGAGGATCGTCCTTGTAACCTACATGTGCGTGACTCACTATAAACTCCATCCCAAAAACCCTATGGGAAAAAGGCATGAAAAAAAAGAGCATGCACACGACTCTACTAGCCTATATATATATGTTCTAATTCCTAAGGCTTCTAGCTCTAAGTGCCTTGACTTCCTGATGTCTTCGTCTTTGGGCTTCAGCTCCTTTCGTCGCATTTATGACACGGTTTGTTGGCTTTGCTTGGTGTGTAGGTCTTCACCTTTAGGACCTTCTTGATGCGCAAGTCTTTGTCTCCGAGGCCTTCGTCTTTGTTATCTTCTCAGTATGCAGGCCTTCATCTCAGAGGCCTTCGTCATCGGTATCTTCTCAACGCGCAGGGCTTCGTCCCTGGGACCTCGCGGAAGCTTTGCTTTGACGACATGTCATGGTTGAAGTAGTCGATGTAGTCGAACTAGTCGTAGCCGAAGGTTACTGTGAGGCCTCCAAATCTTCTCACATGAGCGCCGAGCAAAAAATTGTCAGCCTCCGGAGTGGCTGGCCCTCTAGTATGGTCCCCTAGCCCCTCTTGGCTGGTGCTTGTGACTGAATCCTCAATCATGCTTGGTGTAGTCATGGCAGTGGAAGTAGATGTCCAGACCAAAGTTGTTGATGAGCCCCTCGAGTCGAAGTGGCTGACAAAGGTGTAGCAGACCTGGTGTTGATGTAGCCCTTCAAGCTCGGCGACGGAGGTGAGTCGTCGTAGGCGTTGATGCCGAAGGTGTCAATGAGGGCTCTCATGTCATTGTAGTGGGTGAATATGGTGGTGGAGCCCCTCTTGTCGAATGAACACAGCGGCGAAGACCGTTGAGGCGACGAAACGTGACTCAAGCGGTCAGATCTAGATGGCTGGCGGGCGGCGAACTCGCCAAGCCCCGCACTCCTCTGGAATCTTGACAGCCCTCATGTCTCTGCCTCCGCCTCCACCTCAGCCACCACGTCAATAGGGAGAACTGTTGGTGCTGCCCCAAATCGAGGTCACGCCGGTGTCGACGGAGCTTCCACCTCCACGTCGACAAGGGACACTAGTTGCACTGGCATCGCCGCTCGCTTCCACCTCCACCTCTAAGGAGATGAAATGAACCTAGAGTTGGGACTTGGGAGAAAGGGAAAAGAAATGGTTGGTACTGTTTTGATTTTTTTTAAACGACGGACACAGTGCAATACGTTTCTGATTCAGAGGGTGAGCGTGACAAAAGCAAACGGATGGTGGCGGACTGAATGGGAGGCGGCTGCCGAAAATAGGAAGCGCGCGTCGCTAGCCCGCGAGGCGCAGGCGCGCTGAATAAAAGTTTCTTCCAACTTTGTGGCATCTGTTTGAGATCAGCAAATAAATGCCGACGTTTAGATACATCAATTTTGCAATTTGCACCCACGCCCCAATATCACGGGGCGTACAAAGAAGTCACCAATAAACATTCGTATTAATTCACGCATTGATCACTTGTAGTAAATGAAAGGAAGAGAAAAGGTAGAGAAAATGAAAAAAGAAAAAAAAGAAAACGAATAAAAAATACAGTGTTGATCGGACGCACACCCATTTCAATTTCACTCAGGCCTATTCATCCATCCCGTGCTAATCCAACAACAGAGAACAGACCATACATTTATATATAATATCTTTATCGTTGTGGCTAACATGTTGACGAATTCAGTCAGTCAGTTAGCTGCCATGGCGGCCTGGGAGCGGATGGTGCTGGGGTAGAGGAACTTCTTTCCGCCGACGGCCTCCAGGATCTTCTTGCTGAGCGCGGCGCCGCCGTCCTGCTCGCCGGACTTGGAGACGTAGAAGGCCCGGGAGAACCAGTCCAGCAGCTCCGGCGCCGCGCACATCACCATGTGGAAGGGCCAGTACCAGCCGGGCCACGTCACGTAGTAGTCCCCCCGGCGCACGCTGGCCACCACCACCTCCGCCAGCGACTCCGTCTTGCCCACCGGCATCGGCCCCACGTTGATCTGCACGCACAAAATCAAACGTTAGTTCAACTCCTCAACGTCTAAGGAAAAGGAGGACGGAGGAGGAGGAGATGGAGCTCACGTCGCGGGCCTCCTCGTCGATGCCGACATGGCCGTCCTTCTGGAGGCCCTTGCCCTTGGTGAGGTTGGAGACGACGTAGCCGGGCATGAGGATGGTGACGCGGACGTGGGACCCCAGCTCAGCCCTCAGGGTCTCGTAGAACCGTATCACGGCACCTTTGCTTGCCTGCAAAATTATATATACAAAAACCAAAACCTGAGAATGAAATCCATGGCTAATCTTGCGAAAGAATTTCCATTATGTTCATGTAGGGCCGCCGGCACCCTGCTGATTCCTACCGACTGACATAGCGTGCGACACATGGATCTGACGACCTAGCTAGCTTGGTAGCTGAACTACATTATGTAAGCTCGATCATTCTAGATGGCCAACCCAGATTCATCTATCTGTAATTGGTGGTACACCCACAAGCACAAGGTGTTTGGTGAGCTGAATTTATGCTCACCGCAGGCCTGTTTGGTATAGCTTATAAGCTATTTATGGTCAAATAAGCTGAAATCAACAGCCAAACGTCACGTTTTTCAGCAGCTTATTCTGGTCACGTTTATTTTCACAGCTCCTATTTGTAATAAAAAGCAGAAGCTGGATCAGACCAGCTTATTTTGACCGCTGTTTTTACTATATTTGTGCAGTTTATCTGAGAAGCGCTTCTCAGATAAGCTGTACCAAACAGGTTACGTTCTTAGATTGAGGGCCTGTTTGGTTCTTTAGGGGCTCCTAAAATTCCTGTCACATCGAATGTTTGACACATGCATGGAGTATTAAATGTAGACTAATTACGAAACTAATTGCACAACTTGCGACTAATTTGTGAGACGAATCTTTTAAGCCTAATTAGTCCATGATTTGACAACGTGGTGCTACAGTAAACATATGCTGATGACCGATTAATTAGGCTTAAAAAATTCGTCTCATAAATTAGCATCATCTATGTAATTGATTTTGTAATTAATCTATATTTAATGTTCCTTATTAGTATCTAAATATTTAATATGACATGAATTTTAGAAAAAGACTAAAGAACCAAACACTCCGGATTAATAGGTTCCTTACGTTGTAGAAGCTCATCCGTGCTGTCGGGACCCTGCCGGCGACGGAGGCAGTGACCACGATGTTGCCCCGGCTGGCCTTGAGGTACGGCAACGCGAAGTAGGTCGGGTAGACGGCACCCCAGAAGTTGAGGTCCTGCAGCGCCCAGCCATGCGTAAACAATTAAACGTGCACGGACGACGACACGCAACAGAATGTTCAGAATTCGGAAAGTTGGCCATGAAAAACAAGTAAGCGCGCGCAACAAATTCTTGGCAATGAAAATGATTGACCAAATTGACTCCAAAAAGAAGTGTTTTAATTAGTCGAATTTGAGAGCTAACTGATTAATTCGCTCTGTAGCGTTGCAGGCACTAAAGCGAAGCACTGGACCCACCATTATCAGTATTGGAAAGAATACATATCATGGCGGTTAAGAGAATATAATGCACCATATAAAGAAGGGGTGTGCACGAGTGCGACGCATATCTAATCTAATAAGACTAAATAGGTCAACCTCTCAAAAGAAATAGAGGGGCCAATTAGTCTTTTCAGCTTCGGAAAAATCCTACTCTTTGCTTTTGCAATGGAGGGAAATACTTTATATGCGTAGCAATCTGTTATTTTCTCATGTCAAAGTTTCTACATACAGTATAATAATAGGCCGGACTGATTGAGTTGATGTCTTACAATCACATTATGGAAGGCGGTTATGTTGGTGATCTCTTCAAAAAAGCAGCTGGACCAGATCCCCGCGTTGGCCACCAGGTGATTCACTGCGGAAAATTAGAATTCTTCAAAATCAGTATTTGATATGAGTACCACGCGTCGCCTTATGAATCAAGATATTTTAAGTCAACTATAAATATAAAAGCTATAAACAGAATGTGAAACATGTTTTAACTTGGCAGCTTTGTTTCACTATCAAACAAAGACAACTAGCTGCTGGCCAATTATTTTTGCTAACTGTGTATTCAAAACCAGTTTTGTCAATTTGTCCACTAGACTGACAAAGGACAGTCGTCTAAGCCTGTTCGCTTGAACTTATCAGCCGGCTTATCAGCTAGAATCTACAGTATTTTTCTCTCACAACAAATCAGCTTCAGCCGGCTTATCAGCTGGTTTAGGCTATTTCTGATGTTCTTGTTGATAATAATCTTTTAAATTACTTGACAGAATGGAGCAAGAAATTCGCAAGTTATGTTCAAAAACAAAATAAAAGTTTCAGGAGGTAGCCCTGGCTTGCTATCTTCATTCTGTAAGTAGCTCTAATGATGCTTTCAACCAAAATAGGCTGCTATGACATTGATTCACTGCACTATCTCTGAAAGCGATTTGCTGTCACGTACATAGTCATGGACCATCAGCTACCCTTAGCTGCCAGTGACAGAAACGTATATATTTGTAATAAGGTTTGGTATGACTGCGGGGAATTTCATAATTAGCTTAATTTCTAACTGCAGATAAAAAAACTCAAAATCTAGAAAGTCAGCTTCTAAGCGAAAAGCAAAAAACTGCAGATAAAAACCAAACAGGCTCTCAGATGTGTCGCATCAACAGGGAGCACTAAATTAACACGCTACACAGTTAATTAATTATGGACCTACGTGTTTAATTTACATTTTTTCAGTCTGCCAATAACATTAGTAGTAGCAGATGGCTTCATCTAGTGTCTCTCCTCCTGCTGAATCATTTTCCCCTAAAAAATGAAAGAAAATCTTGACAAGCTACTACAGTACCTATCGCTTAATTTAGTGAGAGACCAAGAACTCCTCCTTCTCGACTGGGAGAGAGAGAGAGAGAGAGAGCAGCTGGAACGGAACATTCGAGACGCTTGCATGTTATGTTGTGCAGTCCAGACGGTCGTATATACGCCTTGTTTAGATGCCATCTAAATTCTAAGTTTTTTCACTCTCTCTCCATCACATCAATTTTTAGCCGCTTGCATGGAGTATTAAATGTAGGTAAAAAAATAACTAATTACATAGTTTAGTTGGAAATCACGAGATGAATCTTTTGAGCCTAGTTGGTCCATGATTGAATAATATTTGTCAAATAAGACGAAAATGATACTATTCACCGGGTTCACTTTTTTTGGAAAGTGGACGAGGCCATAGTAGTGTTATTACTGATCACTGCTGCCTGCAATTAATCCCAGCGCCGGCCATGTGTCACCAACCGGCAAGACATGATATAATAATGTACTACTTCTACTGGCAGTGACACTTCCGGCCGCGGCACTTGCCCACTTGACGTCCCTTGCTTGAAAGCAAATATAAAGTAAGTACTGACGTAAATGTGTCATTAGTTCTACTCCGACCCACTTGCTTGAAAGCAAATATAAAGCACAATGTCGAGAAGCGTATGCATGCTATGCTATGCTACCTTATATATATTATAATATAGTAGTATATATGTATAAGTAAGTACTGACGTTTGCCGAAATGTGCGACGGTCTCCTCGACGGCGCGCTTGGCGTCGTCCACCTTGGTGACGTCGGCGGGGACGACGAGCACGTCGGGGGCGCCCAGGTCGCGCGCCGCCTTGGCCACGGCGCGCAGCGCGATCTCCGTGCGCGCCACCACCGCCACGCACGCGCCGTGCCTCGCGTACTCGTACACCAGGTGCTGAAAATTAATATAAAGAACAACGGGAAACATATACATAAATAAATAAAATAGATAACGACGAGCTGTCAGATTAGCACTGCTCCTACATACTGCTTCTACTGTTGCTGTACAGCAATGGTTTGTTCAGTACACCTTTGTTTTGTCCTGGCTAGCCCTGATTTTTTCTAGTTTGATGCGTACCCTTCCACTGCACTGTCTCTATGTGCCGATGAGGCACCGTCGAGGAATAATAAATCGGGACGGAGAAGTGACGAGCAATAGCAAGCAATAAAGACACAGCAGCAGTGTTATTGTGAGTGGGTTCAGGGAGCCATGAATGAGCTTTTATTCCAGTGATGACTATGGAGCCACATGCAGCTAGAGCTACCAATCGGTAGCACTACAGTCTACCCCGTACTGCGCTACTGCATTGCATCTGCATGCCTCTCTGCATATCCGTGAACCGTTATGCAGCCAACTTCCCGGAGCCACCATGCTCGGCTGGGATCAGTAACCTTTGTTTCGGTCGTTGTTTTGCTCCTCGATCCAAACCCGTCCAACTAGGGCGTTACGTTACTCCTACTTTGTTGTGCACACGATAATGAAGTGAAAAAAACAACATGTGTGACGACGACGATCAACAAACATTCGACAAGCGCCATGTTCGTTTGGGCTGGTTTGGCTTATAAGTCGTACTTTTTCAGCCAACAAACATTATTTTTCTCCCACACCAAATCAGCCAACAGTACTTTCAGCTATGACTTATCAGTTGCGTGGCCGTAAGTGTTTTGATACTACAGTGCGCTTTTCACATAGTCTGTCATGCATAGCCGCCGTGGACCCTAGCAGCCTTTATTCGTGAGGAAGACAGGAGTCAATTTGTGGCCTTTAAAGGGGCAACCATTTCAGTGCATTGGCACGTAGCTGTAGCTAGCTAGCATGCACCAACTCTACCACCTGGTGTGTGTGCGTGCCAGGCCCTGTTCGCTTGTCTGTGTTTTTTCTCTCACTGGTAGGATCGGAGGTCGTCGAACTGAGGATCCCACAGGAGCCTGGGAGTTCAGTTAATTGGAGGAACGTATATAACCGCAAGAAAGAGAAACCATATTTATATGGCGGCAAATATTGGATCCACTGTACTATACTCGTGCATGATTTGATCCGGCGCATGCAGTCGCAATCGCTACGGGTGCAAATAAATTTCGAATTTATACTACCCTGCGGCAGCTAGGTTGTGTACGTGTGTGCAGAGAGAGTTAGTATTAGGAACCGTACTTGCATTTTCTTAAGACAATAGTCGTATCGTACCCACTAGTACAACATTGTTTAGTTTATTTATCTTCTTCTTCGTCCAGATTCAGAGCGCACAAAAGTAGGCAACCCAACCAATCAAAAGCTAGCATGCGATTTGAAAGACGCATGCATTGCACGCAGTTGAACAACCACGCGCCACCCTCTCTCCGGAAAGGCCACAACCATTTCGTGGCACGCGCCCGAAGTAACCCAAACCCATCAAGACAGTAGCAAGCACACTCTTGTACCGTATAGTACAGGTGCAATTCGTATGCATGTAAAAAGGAATACCAGCAACGAAAGTAAAAGTTATACACAGGAAAGTTAAAACAAAGCTAGCTAGATATATACGTAGTTGCCAAAAGAGAAGTGGAAGAGAGATGTACGTTTCGAAATCCATAAAAGGTGTGCATGTAGTACATGCATGCAGGCGTAGTAAAAACTGGATCGGCCACTGCCATCCGGGCCGGACCCCGGGCAGGCGAGTAAAGTCACTGCCCGAGAGAGGCCGTGGCAGTCGCGTGTAGCTCGCAGTCAATACTCAATAGTAGCTGAGACTCACACAGCAAAAGGCCAAAGGCCAATATCACGGAAGAAGGCTGGGTGAGACGACTGACCTCGCCGATGCCGGAGGAGGCGCCGGTGACGAGGACGACCTTGCCGCGGAGGTCCTCGCCCTTGGCGAAGGGGCGGACGCAGAGGCGCTTCAGGAGGCGGCACACGAAGGCGACGGGGAGGTAGACGAGGAGCACCAGCGCCAGGCCCACGTGCATGAAGCAGCTCAGCAACGCGTTCACCACACACTCCTTGCTCATCTTCCTTCCTTGCTTGTTTCTTTCCTTCCTTGGCTTGGCTGGCCGGCCTGCCTCGTCGATTTCTTTGCTTCTCTTATTATTAGCTTGTTGCTCGATGGATTTTGCTTTGGCTGGCTGGCCGGCCGGCCTTGTTCCGATCCTTGGATCTCCTCTCCTGCCTGCCTCTGCACCACCGTACCCTAGCTAGCTCCGATCCCACCAGGTGGGAGCCTGCCTGGGACGAACAAACTGAACGTACCACGGCTGGAGGCTGGTGGAGGATCGGAGGTGGCGGAGACGAGGGAGGCCGTGGCGTGTTATTTATGGGTGCCCGGAGAGGAGAGGCTCGCGGCTTGGGCAGGCCAGGGAGGGCAGGGAAATTATAATGTGCATGTACGGTGGCGTAAGATTTGGTGGCTGGCGGGCATGTCCGATGTGGTCGATGCAGCGACCTGCAGGTGGCTAGCTAGCTAGCTCAGACCGGCTCAGACCTGTTCGGCAGCCTGTATTATAAGGCTCGGCTTACGAACAGTATTTTTCTCTGACACCAAAACAGCCAGCAGTATTTTTAGCCATAGCTTATAAGCCAATCCAGCCGAAACGAACAGGCTGATTCAGGAAGTGAGCCGGTGGCCGGAGTAAATGCCGACGCGGCGCCGATGGTATGTACGGTCATCATCCGCCGCCGCTGTCACGAGCCATGCCGGTAGTCCACTACTACTCACCAAGTCCCATGCTAGCTCCAGCTTCAGTGGATCGGAGGGACATCGGAGTAATTAAGAGTCTCTGTATATAGTGCCTGCGATCTTGCACTAACTACGTACTGTAGTACATAGCACCTAGCTATATACACTGAAGATAGCCGATGGTGCATGCATGTGTCATGTATCATGTATATGTATTATATTTGGTTTCTCGCGGGTCCACACCTACCTTTAGTCCTTTACACGTACAAACTTGTGTCAAGCTGAGTACATCGGTACATGCACATGCTTTGCCGAAGAAGCTTGGGTTTTCACCCTGGTAGCTAGTAGCAATTAGCAAACAGGCGCGCACGTACGTGCCAGCAACATATCGGCATTGGTCGGTGTACGTACGTACGACGACGGATGGAGCTGAGAGGAGTACGTACACACACCATTCACCGGCCCGTACTCATGCGTCGCGTCCGTCGTCATCAGTACAGAAAACAAAAATATACTACTCCGTAAGTAAGTAATCAGTAAGATGTACGTATGGTACACGGTGAAACGTGAAGGTGGTGTACGTGGCTCGGTGGCTGTACGTCGTCGTACGTGCAGTGTGGTGATCAGAGAGAGAAAGAACCAATGATCGTCAGATCAGATCGGCCACCAAACAACAACAACCGCCGCCGCCCCCAATTGGACTGCACCGCCTACAGTATCTTTCTTGCGTTCGCGAATTTTGAGAATTTGACTAATGTAGCATTTTTGTTTTTATTTGATAATTAGTGTTTAATCATGAACTAATTAGGCTCAAAACGTTCGTCTCGTAATTTCCAACTAAACTGTGTAATTAGTTTTTTTTTGTTTACATTTAATGCTCCATGCATGTATCACAAAATTCGATGTAATAGCTATTGTAGCACTTTTTGAAAATTTAGTTAGAAACTGAACAAGGCCGCAGTAAAATAAAAAAGTGGAAGGAAGGCCATCTCCCTCGTCAAACCCGCTGCCGCGCTCAGATTTAATTAATTAAAAAAAATTACTACTGGTATATGGATGGCGCTTTACTTTCCTTGTGCAAATAGCTCTGGGCGGCAGGGTGGTGAAGCTACTCCAACGGTCCAACCCCGCGAGGGTAGGTCCCTGGTGGCTTACGCCATCTCTGACACACGTCTAGAGAGCCAAAATCTTTGCGTGTTCGGCTGTACTACTTTCAGCTTGTTTCAGCTTATTCTCTCATAGAACACTATTGAATCATCCGAAATAATCCGAAATCCACTGTTCAACGTACCAGCCAAGCACGCTGTGTAAAGCCATAAAGCTATAGCTCACTCGCGTGATTTGGAGCAATCTATCACTGAATTTTCTCTTCCAAAAATCCGGTCTCTCCCCCTCTTCTTGGCGAACTTTGGTGGGCTTAGAAGGGGCCGACTGGGGGAGGCAGTGCGGCCAGGCGATGGGGACGGTGGCCGGTCGGTTCGGGGCCTGAGTCGCGGCTATTCGCCGGAGTTGGAGAAGAAAGTGGCGGCGGGGGGGGGGGAGGAAAGAGGGAGGTCGCCGCGGCGCGGTAGGGTCTCATTGGAGCTCCGTGGCCACAGTCACGGTCGTAATTGCGGAGCTCCGGCGAGACTCTACCGCGCTACGGCAGGGCGGTGGGGCACTGGGCGGTGGTGAGCGTCGGGAGGAGGAAGATGAACAATGACCGCCGAGGGGAGAAAAATTTGAGTGATGCTTCACTAGGGTGACATATAGACAGATCCTTATAAAGATAGGGATCGGACGGTGCAAAATAAAGTAGCGCATGAGCTGGCGCGTCAATCTATTAGACTTTAATAGAATTGTGTTCCTTTTGTTAGTGTTGCAGAGTGCGTGCACTCCTTTACGCTGCTTAACTCTAAATAAAGCTCTCCCATCGTGAAAAAAGATATTACTGCTAGTACACAGAGCCACGGTATGTTTGGCTTATAAGGTTCTTATGATAAAAAGAATTACTCTTATTGCAGCTTCTTCTGGAAGTACTTAGGGCTTGTTTTGACTCCTCCGGTTTTTATGAATCTGGCTTTTAGAAACTGCATGGGATTCAAACATGCTAGTTTTTGCCAGTTTCTCGTGCCAGTTTTTGCCAGATTCTTAAAAATCAGAAAGTTGTAGATACTGAGCTTTTGCCAGTTTCTTTTGACCCAAAAAGCAATAAATGAAGTCATATTCTTAAACTCGAGGGATCCAAACACCCCACCAATTTTTGCTCAGAATCCATATTTTAAGAACTAACGGCAAAAACTATTTTTCAAGAATGTGAAACTGATCCAAACAGTGACTTTCCTAGCGGAAAGAAAAATGGACGCTAGGCCCATTTACTTTGGATTTTGGTGTTTGGTAACCAACACAACCAAATTGGATTAATGAATTTGCAAGTAATTATTTTATAGTTCAATAGGGTGCAAGACGTGACTTAGACGAAGGCAACATGATGATCCCACGATCAACACTATAAGCAAGACCCTAGAAGCACAAGAAAAGACCCAAGATATCAAGCAAAGTCCAAGCACGAAGATGGGAACCAAGCCGGACGCAAGAACGCGAAGAAACGAGCTCGGCAGAGGTGACCAGACGTGGCCCTAATAAGGACCGGACGCGTCCGATCAGTTGCTCGGCAACACCAGGCGTCGGCAACAGTGATCGGACGCTGAGCAGTAGTGACCGGACGCTGAGCGAAGCAGTGATCGGATGCACCGGTGACACTGTTTATCGTCACGGCAATGTTTTCAGTGTGACCGGACGCAGCGGCACTAGACGACAGGACGCACGAAGTGCAGCGTCTTATCGTTGCCAAAGAGGTTCTAGAGTGGCGCCAGCGCGACCGGACGCGTCCGGTCGATGATGATCGGATTCAGCCCAGAGTCTGATCAATGCGCGCGCTCCAACGGTCGGGACGACCGGACGCGTCCGGTCAGGACGTGATCAGCGTCCGGTCAGTAGCAGAAAGCTGAGTTTCGCCCCCAACGGCTACTTTCTCAGTGGGGCTTATAAATAGACCCACAACCGATCATTTGAGTAGTGTGGAGCTGAGGAAACATATCAAGGGTGTTGATACACCATTTTAGTGATCTTCATTTGCATAGTGCTTAGTGATTCATTAGGTGATTAGTGTAGGTGCTTTACAAAGTGCTTAGATTGATTAGACCACCGCTTATGCGTTTGCTCTACGTTTAGGCCTAGTGTTTAGTGAGGTTTGCATACCTCTTACCACTCGGTGCTCGCGCGCACCATTGTTGTACATCGGAGGGGCTTGTAGTCTTGCGAGATCACACCAACCACGTTTTTGGTGTGGCCGCCACCGTGTACCGGAGGGAATAAGGCTCGTGACGTTTCGGCCAAAAGCTTGATAGTGAAGACGGTGGGGAGCGGTCCGGAAGAGGCTTGCTGGAAGGCACACCGGAGACCCACTTACGCGTGGGGAACGTCCGGGGCTATCCACGGAGTTTCCCGGCCGGGAGCTTGGCCCTTATGAGGGATTCCTTGCGAGGGGCTCTAACGAGGATTAAGGGGAAACTTGCACGCTTCTCGATACCTCGGTAAAAATATCGGAGTCGTCGATGGGAGTTTGCATATCTCTACCTTACTCTTTAGCTTCTGCATTTACATTGTTTGCATAACTCCTTTTGCGGTAGAGATAGCAAAACACTAGCAAAATCGTAGTTGTATATTTAGATAGTTTATCTTTTGCATAGGTTTTGCTAAGGTTAGAAAAATAGACCATAGTTTAGAGTTAGAGTTTTAAGTTGCTTAATTCACCCTCCCCTCTTAGGCGTCACGGTCCCCTTCACTAGCATCTCCATTCATATCTCATTTGGTCATTCTTAGGGGCCGTTCGGCTGCTCACAATTTCAGCCGGAATTTACTGTGCGCGGATGAAAAATACTGTTTACGCTCTCACAAATTCCTCCAGATTCATCCAGATTTCTCTAGATTCATCCAAGCGAACAGGGCCTTAAAGTGATTGCTGTCATTGTATAGCAAAATTCTTAAATAGTAGATTTCAGATTCCTTGGATTTTAACGTAGTCTACACTAAAGTTGTAGTTTTCGACATTATCTATAACTTTATAGCTGACAAGCTTTTCTGTTTAAGATTGTTTATACCATAAAATTTTTGTTTGAAATTATTAGATTTTGAAATTAAATTTTAAAGTTTCTAAAGCACTTCAAATGTTGACGTCATTAATTGATACCAAAGTTGTAGCGGTCAACGTGATATACAAAAGAATACCATATAATACTAACTGAGAACCAACCGTATAGGGACTCTGTTTTCCCTGTTTTATTCTTATTTGAATTATTAAATGCAAGTCACAGGTTTTACCATTTCGGGCTCGTTCGTTTGAGCAGGAACAGACACAGGCCCTTAAAAGAAGTGCTCCACTTACTGAAATAAGAATCAGGCGTTTGCATCGCTTTTTTTTTTTAGTCAAGGACAAAACTACCAATATTAATAAGCAGTGTGGAAAAAAAAGCAGCTTCTCAGAAACTGAGGTTCAGAGGATGTAAATGATGGCGCAGATAAACATGCATGTACTGCTACTAGTACATTCGTATGTATAGCAGCAGAATTTAGAATATAAAGAATACTTACTCTGAGAATATAAATATATTGAGCCTGTTCGCTAGTTGGTTTCTGGGCTGATAAGCCCAGCTGGTACTGGTTTGTTGTAAGAAGAAAATACTGTTGACTGGTTGATAAGTCCTGGTTGAAACCGACGAACGAACAGACTGATTATCTGTAAGCAGCTTCAGAATGTAGTGGAGCATTTGCTAATTTTTGTGCTTCATTATGGTTACCACCGCTGACGCAGTATCTTTCATTTTCCTTTTGGTTGTAGGACGCTGGGGGAGAGGGTTGGGGCAGGTGAGGTTTAGCTGAGCAGATTCATGAATGGCACAGCCGCACAGGTGGTGGTGGCCGGTGCCGTGCCGTGCCGTGGCCCGTGGTCGATCAGCGTGGTAACCCACTCCATCCACCGCGGGGCCAGTGAGACGAGGTGGCAGGGGCTCGACTTAATGCATGTGACTGCAAGCCTGCAACACTACTGATTCTAGTGAGACGAGGTGGCCAGTGAGACAAGGTGGCAGGGCTTGACTTGAATGCACGTGACTACAAGCCTGCAACACTACTAAAACAACAGCAGAAGCAGTCTGCACGCAAGCTGCGAACGACGACGGCCTATCGCTATCGGAGACGAAGACCATCGTATCATAGCTTGACCTTGACGCCACCATACCTTTTGGTTTTTTATCCATCCGCTTTTTTACGGTCAGTATGGTGAGGTCGTGGTGAGGTCATCTGATGATCCTGTAGTATGTATCACGCATTCACGCGTCCAAGAATATGTAAAAAATACATTTTTTGTGGGCGTGTAAACTTTTGACTATAATCTTCCTCGGCGTAAACTGAAACCGGCTAGATACATAGTCAGGGACGGATCCACATGAGAGTGTGGTATGGACACTGAAAGAGACCGCTCGGTTGCTCTGTGCGGCCTCGCTGCACGCAGCAGGGCCGCGAGTTGGACTCAAACTCAACCGCGTAGCAGCCTGCCTGCTGCCCATACTGATACTACCTGTACGTATGGCTGGTGGAGTGAGTGACCGATTCAAATCTACTCTTATCGAAGCAGTTTGCTTTGGCCGATGCTCAGGGTGTCCATGTCAGTGAAAAAAATTTACAGCGTCCGACCGTCTTTCCACGGTCCAAATTTATCCCACTGTTTGTACAGTATAACACTTCAGCTGGTAAACAAAAAATAAGAACTCCCTCGTCCTCTCCACCGAAGCCTCAAGGGCCGCATCCTCACGCCGCTTCCTGCCCTCGCTCCCACCGCGCCGCCCTCTGCCGTTGCCTCCGCCGCCCGCTGAGGCCGCCACCGCGGAGCTCCGCGTCCGCCTCTCCACCCCCAGAGTAGCACGTAGGCCTATGCGGACGGCCCCCGGTGCCGCCGCCATGTCGACCAAGGGTTTCGACGTGGAACCGGCCCCAGCCCTGGCTCAGCCGGCGTGCCGGCGCGGGTGGTCGCACTCCGCGGCAGGCTCACCGTGCGGCGTGGTGCCGGGCCGGTGGCGCCTCCGGTTTGCTGCGCCCTTGCTCCGGCGCCTCCCAGCGCCGCCCCCATCGCCCCTCCGCCCCTGCTGAGTTCAACATATATACCGGGAGCACTAGCAAGCAGCAGCAGGCTTAATTAATTTCACACAGCACACATTGTACAAATTGTATTCAACAGATCAACGGCATAATAGTTCAAGAGCCAGTGATGATGATGTTTGCCGCGGCGTCATGTCACCCTCCCAAATCTTAGGCCTTATTTAAATAGTAAAGTTTTGAGGTGTCATATCAGGATGTCGCATGGGGTGTTCGGATACTTATAAAAAAATAAATTACAGAATCCATCGGTAATCCGAGAGACAAATTTATTAAGCCTAATTAATCCATTATTAGCACATGTATTACTGTATCATGAACTAATTAGGCTTAAAAGATTCATCTCGCAAATTAGTCACAAATTGTGCAATTAGTTATTTTTAGTCTATATTTAATACTCCATACATGTGTTCAAATATTTGATGGGATAAGGAGTAAACTTTAGACGAGTAACTAAACAAGGCCTTAATCCCTGTAGCTTGAGGTCCTGTGGTAAGAGCTGGGATTTGGGGCCGTCCTCGCACGGTACGGATGCTCTTTGCTTGCTGCTTCCAGCCATTATTTAACCTGTTCGTTGGTTGGTTTCTGGCTGATAAGCCCGGCTGGTACTGGTTTGTTGTGAGAGAAAAATACTGTACCATAGTTGATAAGCCTTGGCTGAAACCAACGAGCAAACATGTTGATTATTGATAGACACCTAAGACATGACTGATAGCAACCGTGATATAGAAACGAAGTAAGAGCGGAGGCTACAAACCTTTCTCCTTAAGGCCCCGTTCGCTGGTCTGAAACGGCTGAAACTGGCTGGTTTTATGAGAGAGAAACACTGTAGCGGCTGGTTGATGAACAATGTTTTTGTGAGGCGGATCAGCCGGCTGGTCTGGAACATCTAGACCAGCGAACGCGCCCTAAGTCTTCACGAAAAAAAATTGGTCAGAAGGTGCTTTTTCTGAAGTAGCCAACTGTGAGTTTGATTTTGGAAAGAAATTTAATTGAAATAAAATTTGTATTATGAGTAATTTGTATCAGGTAAGCTTTTTTAATATCAATAATTTATAACATTGCAGTTAACAGCTTTCTTCCTTGCAAGAAAGAGAACAAATTCGCAAAACTTTGACTTGCTTATTTGATACTTACTTAACAACAAAGGCACTAACCAAGGTTTGTTTGGTTCCCAACCATGCCACAAACTAATTTTAGGCAAATGTGTCAAGCCACAAAATTTAGCTACAAAATTTGATGCCACACTTTGCGATACCTAAGAGAAGCTTCACATACTCCATCTATTCCAAATTATAAGACGTTATGACGTTTCTAGATGCATTGATTTTACTATGCATATAGACATAGATATATATCTAGATACATAGCAAAATCTATGTATCTAGAAATGCCAACATGTTTTGTAATTTGGAATGGAGGGAGTACTTTTTTACTACATGACATGTGCAGCCTAAAAAAAATCTTGTTTAAGATTAGTTGCCAGCCAAACACTTGCCAATCCGGTCAGACTTTTATAAGGTGAAGCCTGCCAAAGTATGGCTACCAACCTGTTCGAGTTGATGACGAACAAAAGAAAAAAAAATCCATTGTAGAAAGTTGTTGCGCTTTTAGAGAAGGTTGTTTTCAGAGGCAACAATGTAATGCGATGCAAGTAAGGGAAGTTGCTCTTGGGTAAAAAGTCATTTGCTTTGATAACTAATTGATTTGAAGCAACGAGGCCTACTTTGGGTAGAGGTGGCTCAACGAGGAGGTGCCTTTGCAGTGGCCCCCAAACCAAGTCACCACTGACGATGCATTTGTAGAGGCTGCTCCAAATCTAGCCGCCGATACAAATGGTTTTGTAGATATGTTTTTAGACAGAGCTAGCCACATCTACAGAACCATTTGTAGAGGCGGCTGGATTTCGAGGCACCTCTGGTACAAAAAATGTATACTCATGCCCCTCGCTCACTCCCTCCTCTCCTAAACCGCATCTCGCTTCCTCCTCTCTCAAACATCGTCGCCTCCCCTTTTCCGAACCCTATCACCTCCACACTTGGTAGCCTATGCGGCAATGTCAAGCGGCAGGCGTGGCTTTAACAAGAAGACCCAAGTACCCAACCGCGCAACTAGTGCGACAGGTTCACCCCATAGGGTGGTGGTGGTGACGGCAGACGGGGTTAGATCCCAGTGCACGATGTCGTCCTTTACCTGATCCACTCTGACAAAGAGGTGAAGCCCTCCGTCATGCACCACGCTGAGCAGATTGAATGGACTGCACTCTGCACTCTGCACATGTGGTGGTGGTGGCCGGTGCCGGGCCATGGTCAGTGGCTCAGCGCGGTCACCCCTCACCCAGTCACGCTACACCGCGGGGATCAATGGGACGATCGAGGTGGCAGGCGATCGACTTGGGCCTTGTTTAGTTTCTTCCCTTAAAGTTACTTCATATCCCATCGAATGTTTGACACATGCACGAAGTATTAATATATAGACTAAAAAAAATAATCGCACAGTTTGCGGGTAATTTACGAGACGAATCTTGTAAGCCTAATTAGTTTATGATTTGACAATGTGGTGCTACAGTAACACATGTGCTAATGACAGATTAATTAGGCTTAATAAATTCATCTCGTGGATTACTGACGGATTCTGTAATTTATTTTTTTATTAGTATCCAAACACCCCATACGATACCCGACGTGACACCCTAAAATTTTACACGTAGATTTAAAAGACCTTGACTGCGTGTAGCTGCAAGCCTGCGACACTACTGAAGCAAAGCAGAAGCAGCCTGCCTATCGGAGACATTATCACAGCTTGACCTTGAATTGTGGCACCGTACCTTTTGGTTTATCCGCTTACCGTCAGTTTGGTGAGCTCATCTGATGATCCTGTATCACGCGCCCAACAAGTGCTACTAGTACGCTTATATATTTACTAGTCCAATCAACTCGTGCTCCCACAGAGGGTAACTTTGAGATACATAAGAAATAGATATTCATGTTTAATATATATTGAGCTAATAAAATTAACTTTATAAATTAACATTTATTTGAATGCAGAGTGACACGCGTGCATAGAATTGGCATTGGCGTGATGGTGAGAGATTCTTGTGGCATATCAAATGTGATTCTCCAGTTGGGTCTTTTTTCTTTTCCTTCCTTTGTTTTGTGTCCCAGCACACACTACTAGAATCCTTAAGTTTGCCGAGTGTTTTTATATTTGCCGAGTGCATTCTCTCGGGCACTCGGCAAACAGCTCTTTGCCGAGTGCTTTTCGAAAAACACTCGGTAAAATTAAAACACTCGGTATACATGTTATTTGCCAAATGTTTTTATTAAAACACTCGGCATACCAGTGATTTGACGAGTGCCAGATCCAGCGCACTCGGCAAAGCCCCCACCCGACGCAAATAAACTTCCCGTCCCCCCGCTCCCCCTCCTCCCGCACCCCTTGCACGCACACCCCTCCTTCCCCCCCCCCTCCCCTCTCCCACCCCCCCCCCCCCTCTCCCTCCCTCCTCTCTCCAGCGTCAGCTGCCTGCCCCCCTGCCCTCCCTCTCCGCCCGCCCCCCTCCTCCTCCTCCTCCGCCGCGGCCAGCCCGCCCTGCCCTCCCTCTCCGCCGCCCCCCTCCTCCCTCTCCCGGCTGGCCTTGCCCCGCCTGCCCCCTCCCTCTCTCGCGCCCCCTCCTCCTCCATCTCCGGCGCCGGCGTGGCCCCGCCCTGCCCTCCCTCCCCACCGCGCCCCTCCCCTCCCTCTCCGGCTCGGCCCCACCCTCCCTCACTAGATCCGGCGCCTCCCTCTCCCGGCCCTCCTCCCTTCCCCGGATCCGGCGGCGCCGCCCCCCTCCCGGCCCACACTCTCCCGGATCCAGCGGCGCCGCCCCCCTCCCGGGCCTCCCTCTCCAGATCCGGCAGCAATGGGCGTGGTGGTGGTAGCGGGCTTGGCTGTTGTGGCGGCCTGCGCGTGGTGGCTACACGGCGTGATGGTGGTGCGGCGTGGTGGCGGCACGGCGTGGTAGTGGCGCGTCATGGTGACGGCACAGCGAGAGGGAAGAGAAGACGGTGGCTTGTTTTTTTTATTTTTTCTGAAAAATTATTTGCCGAGTGTTTTTTGGGCACTCAGCTTTGCCGAGTGCCCAAGAAAAAACACTCGGCAAAGTTAGTTTGCCGGTAGAATTTTTGCCGTGTGCCCTCTCGTCAAAGGGTTTGCCGAGTGTTTTAGTGGCTTTGTCGTGTGCCCTAGGCACACGGCAAAGCTCCCGTCCCCCGTAGTGATGGTTGACATTGTGTAGTATATGGGCATGTTTGTTTTGAGCAAAGTATATGGGCATGTTGGATGTCCCTTTTTAGGAATCGAACTATGTGGATGACAATATTAAAAGGTTACTTCACCTGCAAATTAATAATTAATAACATGATTGGGTACTCGATATTGACATGTGTACCTTCAAATGTTTTCATAAATTGTAGTCTTTCTTCTTTGATGAATTTTTTTAAGTTAATCTTAAAGTCCATGCCATTGATGTTTGGCTTGTCATTTGTTTGTTTTGATCTTTTGCTTTCTCAATGGCTTTCATCGTCGCAATTGTGTTGTTGTTCTGAGCTCCTTGACATATCGTCGTTACATCTTTGGAATTAATTGATAAGTTTATTGTGCCCTTGAAAAGGCGGTGGTAACATTATTATGTTTTTATCCTGGTTAGATGTTGTTCCGCTTCTTTCAGTATCATCTTGTTGAGCTAGATGACTGCTTAGGTTGCCATGATGCTCTCTGATGTAGCTTGTTTTGCTATATATGAACAATAGATTTGACAATAACT